AATGGGTGGATCAGGCCACTACTTGAAGATCAAATGAGGATAAGCCAGCACAAAAGAAGGAACAGTAAAATCATATCACATATAAAGGGGGTTTTCTTACCCCAAACAGAGGCATGGAGGATTTTGGGAGAAAGTGTAGGGAGCGAAAAACACAAACACTAAAGAGACAGACAGAGCATTAAACACTAAAGAGGCAGACAAGGAGCATTAAGAAGCACAAAGGGGGCAGACAACAAAAAGCCATTGCCATCGCCATTACCATCACCATCTAACGAAAAACCAGTTTGGTATTTCCACATCCCACCATTCATGCATATGCATGTCTCATCCACACAGCAGCATAAAAGCAAAAACAATTTTGGAGAGAAAGTGTATGACCATGCTTTTTATGCCATAATCTCTACCTGAGATGTTCATTACTTGTATGTTAAATAGGTGTTTAGCCTAATTTGCGTATGCCTTGTTATTTATCACTTATCATTACTCAAATATGCATACATTCCACCTGATGTAGGAAATTTAAGAAATAATGAAGGATTTGTTTTAGTTCTTCCTTTCCAGCACTTATGCTAGCTGAGTTTAGTACTCTAATTAGTTAGACCGTTTTTTATTTATATACATATATAACCATCTAAACAATCTAAAACATAGAAGAAGATAATCCAACAATCCATTCAAAACATAAAATAGAATTCAAACCAGATCCCTGGGAGAGTATTTTAAAACACCTCTTTTTGTGTTTAAGGGCACCCCTTTTTTTTAGTCGATTACCAAAATTTGGTAATCACAAACAAATTTTGTTTTATTATATTTTTTTATATATTTTCAATTCCTATACCTGAATCCAATATATCCAATCAAGCCATACGTACATGAAATTTCATATTGACAAACCTGCACCAGTTTCTATGACAAAAAAAAAACCAGTTTAAAATCAATCATTTTACCAAAGCCCAAATTTAGAGGTAAGTTTCCCATCAATCTGATGGTCATGAGCAGTGGCTATGACTTAAATTCGGATTGAAGCTTCCTATCAACAGGATGGTCATAAGCAGTGGCTATGGCCTTAAGTTTACTATAGATTCATTTTTAGAAGTGAAAATTTAACAAACCAGTAACTTTTTTTTAAACATCCCAATAAAACGTTTTAGCTAGATTACAATCAAGGAGTTCGACCCAAATCTTGGATCTGGACACCCAAGCAGATCCATAAGCCAAAATTAAACCCTAGTCCAAACCAGATCAAGCAAAGAAACCATTAGTTAAGAGGATATCACCTATTGCCTTCTTCAAATCGTAAAGATCTGCAAAAATAAGAAGAAAATCAGAATCTAAGAGATAGTAGTAGTAGTAAATCAGAATCTAAAAGAAGAGGACCCACCTTAAATGGAGGGAAACATCGTCGAGTTTGTCGTCTCATCTCCATCGTCAGGCTCATTGCCGGTAGGCCTCTTGCCGACGCCGTCCTCGCCTCGTTGATAACCGAAACACAAAAAAAATACCCAAATCAAAGTCCGACCCTCAGAATCAAAATAAAGTGTGCATGTAAAAAAATCTTGCCAAAGGATAAGATCCCCTCATTGTTGCCGCTGTTCCAACTAGAAAGGCGAGTCGAGAGTCCCACCTCAGTTTTGAATCGATCTTCGAAAATAAACAAGGAAAAGGAATTAAAATCTTGAAAACCCTAAAATCATATGTAAAGTACTAAAAATGGCATGAAAGAAAAAGGAAACCAACCTTTGACTTCATCCTCGATGTCGTGCTGTCATCGCCGGCAGTGTAAGCCCCCAGTCGGCGGCGGCGATGCCCTTCCTCGTTTTCTCCTTCGTTTCCAGAAATAATGAGAGGGAGAGAAGTAGATCGAGTAGAGGGGAATGTTTGTGTTGTCTTCTCTCTCAGTTTAGAGGGACGGAGAGAATGCGAGGGGAAGGAAGTGGGTCAGGGCAGCGGTTGTGGAGGAAGAAACCAGAGGATTTCTTGGTTCGATGGAAGTAAGACGAGAGAGAGAGAGAGGAATCAAAGACAAGAGAGAGAGAGAGAGAGATACGAGGTGGCCGTTCGGCCAAGCTCGGATTAGAAGTAGTTTAGGGTTTCTAAAAATGAATATATACCCTACTCATTAAAATCTCTTAATTACCCTTAGGGTTTTCAGCAAAATACGTGGCCCTTCCATTTTCTTTTTGCGAAAATACAAAAGTACTCCTTGTTATCTATCTCAAAACGAAAAAACACCAAAATAGTTGTTGCCGAATTTCGAACTCATATGATGAAACCTGTACACAATTTATAATTAGCGGTCAAACCAGGTGAACTACTACTCAATCATGCATAAACTTAATCATTCTATTTCATTCTATTATTTAATATCCTTAATACGAAATTTTGAATGCAGATTATGTCTATCCTGTTTCTTTTCTAATACATCAAATGTCTTTTTAATAACTAAAATCCTCATGTTCTCTTTTCATAACTTCATTAACAAAATTTGTTAATATAGGAACCACGATCAGCGGAACGTGGTAAAAGTTATATTTAAAATCATTAAAGTTTTAACGAACTACGTGAACTTTGATCCCGTGTTACATGTACGTAGGCAACAATAAGGTTCGAGTCCAACTAACCAACTAACTTTATCTTTAAATTGTACGCCAGTGGATGTATAACTAAATTACAACTAATACGTTAAATTTATTTAATGGTCCAGTGGGGACCTGAAAATACAAAATTATTACTAAAAATACACCCAACAAATTTAAACTTATCAACTTAAGTAGTACCGATTAAGGGCGTTGTGGGGGTGTTGTTTAACTTCCCCACACGTAACCGTACTCCTGAACCTATATCTTAATCGCAAACCATATGTCGTTTCTGACCCTAAGGTTAGAGCCGACCGATGAGTGTTTGATCCATTCCAAGTAAGATCGATGGCAACTCCCAAAAGTGAACGCGACCCCGACCCGAGGGACGGTTGCGACAGCGGTCATAAAAGTTTTCATGGTCGCCAGACCGTGACAATTACCCGCAGAATATGAAGTCTGACTGAAACGGCAGCAACTGCCTGCGTTTTTTGACGATGTCAAGGTCGGAGGTCCGATGTCACGCCGTGACATTTTGCAGTGATCTTGACTGTCGAACTGTATAAATAGAAGGCAGTTGGGAGAGATAAAAGGGAGATGAGGGCTTGGCTGGGTTTTAGAATTTCTGGGTTCCCTTCTAGAGTTCCAGCCCAAAAACCCCAAAGGAAGATTCTAGTGAGAGAGTGGCCTTCTTCTTCAATTTTTGAGAGAAACTAACAATCAAAAGGATAAGAAGAGGTTTAGGCTTGCTCTTAGCTAGAGAAGTGGAGATTTTCATCTATCAAGGTTGATTCAAGCAACAAGGAAGACAAGTATTCAATCATGGTTCTTTCTCTCTTTTTTTATTTATTCTCTTCTTGCCTAGCCATGGGGTAGTTGTCCTTCTCACTTGGGTATTGTGAACCTTAGTCTAGATGTGTGTTAGGCTGTAAGAACTTGATTCTATGTGTGTTGATTGTGTGTTATATATAATATTTGAGGTATTATTCATTAATGATTAAGTGTTGCTAGCTTTAACTCATTATTGGGTCGTTTTGACCTAGGTGGAGGGAATCCCCTTTTGTTAGAAGCTTTGAGGAGCTGGATTTCTTGGCAATTTGAGTCACCCACCTAGGAAAATGAGGAAAAACCTCAAATATTGGATTAGTGCCATGATTCCATCTTGATTGGTCGCATTCCGCCATCCGGGTTAACTTCCAAGGAATTGGTTCTTGCAACTCCTAGTTTATCGGTTAAGAGAGCTAGGTATCTTAGCTTATTGTTTCAATTCTTAGCCAAGCAATTAACAGAACTAGTTTTCCTAGCCTATAGTTGCAATCCTTAATTGATCAACTAAGATAGTTAGGGTTTCCTAACTAGTTGCACCCGCCTCACGGTATATGAACACATCCTTCACACTAGAATTTCGTTAATTGCTTCTTAACACGACACTAGGGGGAGTTGTACCCGGGTGAAGTCCTCTCAAGTAGAATTTTACACAATTACTTTGTTTGCTTGTTTACTTTCTAGTTTTCTTAGTTTTAAACTCCAAACCGTTTGCTAGATAACACTTAAGCGATTGAAGTAAGGGTACATTGACCGACATGGGTTGACATTTTAAAACACTTGCCCCATACTACACCCTACTAGAGTTTATACTTGGGCTCTAGTAGGAATTTTATTTGTGTAGTTAAGAACAAGTCAGACCAACATCTAAGAATTGTACACCAAAGAAGAAGTGGAGGGTCTCACCCGACTTGGTGTGAGGTAGCAGCAGAACAACTTCCCCATTGGATCTGAAGGAGGGTCTCTCATGCGTGCTCACCCTTGAAGAATAGGAAACAATTCCTGATAGTTGGAGCATCGGAGACCTAGGCTAAGCAGGAGGTGGAGGGGTGAATTGGATGTTGGTTGAGATGGGAGTGGAGTTAAATGCCACTACCATGATTGTCTATGCCTTACCTTGTCAGCTGACAACAACCTCTTTGCTCAGGCCGATGAAGCGACAAGTCGTGATGGAAGGTCTGAATCCGAAACATCTCTGGCTAACAAGAAGAGAAAGGAAGAATTTTCCACCATTTCTGCATCTTGATGGTTAGGACATAAATGAGTTGTTACCTATTAACTTTAGAAGGAAAGTCCAAGTAGCATATGTGAAGTTTGGAAGGAATATTTACTGAAAGGCAGCTGAAGCTTCATGTTTATTTGAGAAATATTAGGAGGTTCATAGCTTTCGAACTGCTGGTGGTCACAAGGATCAGAAGCTTCAAGACCTTGAGAGGGTGGGATACAGTCACATCCCCTAAGAGGGATGTGAGATTCACATCCAAGAGGTATGAAAAAAAAAACAGAATTTATTATTTATTTATTTTTGTATTAATTACAGATTGGGAAGTAAAAACCCAGATTAAATACTTTTTTAATTCAAATCCTACAATTAATACGCTTATATCTCTCTCTCTCTTTCTTTTCCAGCAACCTCTTCACTCCGACCACCAAAGTTTCTCTGGCCGACGAATTTTTCTGGTGAAATCCTCCAATCAGACTCGCTCCGGCCAACTGCAAAAAAACCACTCCGTCAGTGTGCTAGTGGTACTGATTTTCATCTAGTGGTACGCTACCAGTAGTTGTGGTACGTACTAGTGGTAGTGGTACGCTACAAATACCACTCGTACCGCTACCAGTGAGTAGTGGTACGCTACCACTACCACTGGTATCGCTACTAGTGAATAGTGATACGATACCACTACCACTGGTAGCATACCACTAGACAGAAATCAGTACCACTACTCACTTGTACCGCTACCACTGAGTACTGGTACGCTACCACTACCACTGGTAGCGTACCACTAGACAGAAATCCGTACCACTAGAGAATAACATAAAAAAACAAGATCTGGAATCTGGAAAATCCCAGATCTGGAAAAAAAATTAAGGAATGAGGAAATGAGAAGGAAGGGGAGAGGTTGTTACCTAGCGGCGGCGGCTGAGGAGGACGGCGGGAGAGAGATGGCGGTGACAGGAGTTGGAGGGAGGAGAGAGGGCTGCGATGGTGGGAGGCGGAGGACGCGACGGCTGCGGAGGGAAGGAGAGATGGTGGCGGTGGCGACGGGAGGGAAAGACGACGACGGTGGCGACGGGAGGGGGCGGCGGCAGCGGCGGCGACAACGGGAGGGAGAGACAGAGAGTAGTTAGGGTTCTCGGGAGAGGAAAGAGAGAGAGGGGAGAGAGGAAGAGTTTTTTTTTTTTGGAAATCAGACTATATAGAAAATGAGAAAGGATCCTGTGTGGTAAGTTTTTCTCTTCCAAAAATATCCTTCATTTAATCTAAACCGTTAATTTGAAAAACCAAGAGAGAGGGTGGATCTAATGGCTGCAAAGGAGGAAGTGAAAATCACAACCCCCATGAGGGTTGTGACGCTATCTGAACCCGACCTTGAGAGGATATTTACTGGAAACATGAGGGCAATTACGTACGCTGAAGATATCTTGGGGAAGGGGAGGTGCCCTCCAGTAATGATTTATGCTGGAATTAGTTCATTTGCACGAATGATATTTACATTAAATGTGTGACATGACAATTAAATTATAATAAAATTAAATTTTTTAAACTTCCCACCGTGGTAATTGAAGCCAATTAGCTTCCGCACAAATCTAACAAGAAACTCCCTTTATACTTTTTTTTTTTTTACAACTCCCTTTATACTTCAATTTCATTGTTTGTTCTGTTTCTTTTCTTCCTTCTTCTTTTCCTGGTAAATTGAGTTAGGTTTCACTGTCAATCAAATTGAAAGGAGAAAAGAAAGGGTGCCGCGCTCGACCCGATCAACCACCACTTGAGCGGCTCTCTCTGCCTCCGCTTCTTCCGATTTCCCTTCCGCCTCCTGCAATCGCGAGCTCGTCGGCGCCAAATTCTTCTACGCGGGGTACGAGGCCACCAACGGGAAGATGAATCAGACTTCCGCATTCCGAGTCGCATGAATCTGACAAGGTGGATAATTGGTAAAGATGGGATGGCGGGCCAATATGAAGGTGTGGGCTATGAGAATTTTCACTTAGGGAAACTCGATTTCACTATCATTGTAAGGGGGCAAGAGTGTAGTTAAGTTGGAAACAACTGTCTGATATCCCCGAGCTCAGAAGTTAGTGCTTCTGTAATTGGTTGTCAAGAGCCAGATGGTGATAAGAGGAAAGAATGGGTGGGCAGCCAAGGCATCCGAATGAAGTTGGTAGTGAAGGAGGGATTGCATTATACTTACGTGGCAAGGGTTGAAGTAGGTGGAGGGTAATGCTGATGAGAAATTTTCGGAGTTGTGGAATTGAAAAGAGAGGATGTGGATGATAATCTACCTAGAATTGATGAACATAATCATAAAAGACATGAGATATAACGTGGTTCGGCTTTTCAGAAAGGTTTTATTCCATGGTGGCTAATAAGGTTATTAGATTTCTTAATCAGCCATAAAGCCAGAGTTTGGCTTAAGTAGGCTGCCAAACACGCAGAGGCTTAACCACAAGCCTCAACGTTATGTCCTCCTCAGACCACATACAACATATAATTACAAGTTTGGTCCACTAATTGTACATATTCCAACATCCCCCTCAAACTAATGGTGTTTGATGCAAAATAAGTTTGTGCGATAACGGCTGAAAGAGACCGCCTTTGTAAGGAGATCTGCAGTCCGATCGTCAGTATGGAGATACTTCAGCTGTATCCACCCTTTCGAGACAAGCTGGCAAATGTATTGCATCTGAATTTCAATGTGCTTTGTGCGATCATGGAGAACAGGATTAGTAGCTATCCGAATAGCACTCATGTTATTACCATATAGGGTGACAGTAGTAGGGCACGAGACACCCAACTCGGCAAAGAGGCCTTGCAGCAAGACCAACTTGAAGTTGATCCTCGACATAGACCTGTATTATGCTTCAGTAGAGGACTTTGAAACTCGATCCTGCTTTTTGCAATGTGACTTGTTCTAACTACAACATCCCGATCGACGGCCAAACAACCGCCGACCGGGTGTAGCATAGGAAAAGCAAGCAATAATGATTTATCGTACCATGGGGATCTAGGCTTACCCTACTTCAGGTTTAGGGTTCGTTATCCAGCCAACATAGGATAGTGATTAAGAGAATAAAATTAACTAACCTAGCTAACCACTAACCTAGCTATTTACAAGTTTTGGAGCTCTCTTGGGTTGAATCCGCCTAGTTCTGACCTTTTTGATCGATGTTGAGTATCCTCCTAGCTCAATCGACTCAAATACTCTACCGTTAGGAGATGGACTCCCTAGGAAATGACTCGGAACGACAAATCGATGAATGGCGTATGCTCTATTCAACCTAGGGAAACCCTATATTGTAGGAGATTGATGGAATCGACTCCCTCGGGGATTACCCGGACGATATAAGGTGAGGAGTGACCCAAAAGATGCCAAGAATGGGCTCTAAGGGGATTTATTTCCTCCTAGGTCAAAAGCTTAATGCATGAAAATTGAAACCAAACTCATGTCATTCATGAAACCATCCATCAATTGAGTAAAATCATAAATCAAACATTGAATTTGTCACATACATCAACAATAAACCAAAATCTAGACCTAGAGTTCTTAGACCCAAGAGAAGAGGGCAAGTTTCTAGAGAGAGAAGAGAGATTACAAATTTGAGTGCAAGATCTTCTTCTTCTTCTAGGCTTGATTCCTTGCTTCCAAGTTTGATCAATGCCTTCAATTAAGCTCCAAGATAACTCAAGAACTCTCTATCTCTCTCTCTCTCTCTCTCTCTCTCTCTCTCACACACACACACACACTAGAACTCCCCTTTGGTGTTTTGGGTCAAAACCCTAGAGAGAATTGATTTATCTTCCAAAAACCAGCTAAACCAGCTCCCCTTTCTCTATCCGCGTTGTTGTCTTTATATTTGCCGGACTGGGCCGAGTTCACGATCTTAGAGACCGTGAACTGACTTGAGTCTAGTGAAACCGCAAACCATTATGGAAATTGGCCACTTCACGGTCTGGGCCTTCAGTTCACGGTCTCTAAGATAGTGAACTGAATCTCCAACACGTGAACATTACTCAACCTCCACTTTTTGGCTCGTTTTGACCTCCGAATGACCCGAAACTCGTCCTGGACATTCCCACACGTGTTAGGACCTAAAATGTAACAAAACAAGCACAACCTAGTGTAAAATAGGTCAAGGGACGGTGATCAAGTAAGCAAAACGGACAAGAAATGAGGGGTAAAATGTGTACAATTGGACCCGAATCACTCCCCCACACTAGAACGCTGCTTGTCCACGAGCAAACCAAGTACAAAATAAGGTAAGCTTGAAACTTCTCTTTTGAAAAAAAAATTTGAGGCATGTCATAGGGCACTGACTCGACTCTACTGTCACCCTAGGAATTGGCCAAGTGAAACCACTTCCTAAAACGTAGTATAGCGGGTTTGGGTTTAAATGTCAACCCGGGTCCTAGATCTGATGACTACTCAGTGAATTCTTGTTATCTAGCAATGAAACTGGAATGCAAGTCTAAACTAACAAACTAACAAAGCAAGTAAACGGTTGTATTCAGGTTAAGAGAGGTCACCTGGATATGGTTCCCCCTAGACTGCAGTTAAGCCGGATTGTAATTACCAAGTTCAGTTTCTATGAAAGTTATACTGCGGAAGGTTCTTAAACAGCCTGAAGTCTCGACTAAAGGTCTTCAGACCCTCTCAATCTGAGTCTCTAGCGGGCGACTAACCTCTACCGGAATAAACAGATTGAGGCCCTAAGAACAAAACCTCCACTACCGGAGTAAATCCGGTACAGAATAGTGAGTTGGCTCCTCGACTAAAGTCACCAACTCCCTACCTTCAATCAAGGATGCTCTATCAACCTAGGCAGATATTCTCATTCTAGGTCAAAGCAGAAACAACAGGAATTTGATCAGGATTCAATTCATTCAATCATTCAAACCTCAATCGTATATAATCAAATCATAGAATCAGTACTTGGGTTCATACAATCAAAGCCTAACATACAAATCTAGGGTTCTCCATACCCAGATGAATGGGAGAACTACTCCATAGAGAAAGAAGCAAAAGCAGAATCAGACGCGGAATTCATACTGTGAAGGATGGATTCCTGCTTCTGGATGTTGATCGGCACTTCTCTAAGCTCAAGCTGGCCTCCAATGGTGTTGAAGATCAATCTAGGGCACTTGGAGACTCTTGTTCGTCGCTTTCTCTCTCTAGGAACTGATCTCTCTCTCTAAAACTCGAATCCCCTTCTGTTTGGCTGAAAATCTGCTTAAAAAGGCATCACTGGCCAAAGCACGGTCGAGGGCACGGCCGTGTAATGCCTCAGCCCGCCCGTGCTTTGGCTAGTGTTAATTACACTAGGAGAAACACGGCCGTGCTTTTGGGAGGACACGGCCGTGCTTTGGTGAAGCACGCCCGTGTTCTATCTCAGCCCTGCCCGTGTTTTGGCCAATGTTTGCCAAACTCGAATTAGCTCTCGGCACTAAAAGCACGGTCTCAGAACACGGCCGTGTTCTGGTTTAGGTGTGCCCGTGTTTTGGCTCCAGCTTGACGAAATGACTTCCGAATGCCCCGAAACTCGTGCTTAGCCTTTCCTTTGACGCCTGGGACCTGAAATATGACAAAATAGCACAACCCGGCGTAAAATAGGCCAAAAACACACGACTATGCCCCTCAAACAGATAAGAACTAGGGGCGCAAATATGTGCAATTACATCGTTATCAAATTCCCCCACACTTAACCGTTTGCTTGTCCCCATGCAAACCTAACTCAAACCAATGCAACTCTCCAGACCTCTATAGCAACAAATAACCCAGATCGTAGGTAGAGGACTTCCTAGATCATTTAGCGGCTTACGAGGTCAACCGACGCACAAGTCATCTCATAGCTTCTTCGGCGAGAGCACTAGTATCGAGTCGGCATTATGGAAAATAGTGCACAGAGGACAAATGAATTGTGGATGAAGAGATTCTCAAAAACAAAGGATCATGGACTCACATTTTTCAAGGTGCTCTATTTTCTTCTTGAAGATGGTTGGAACCCCTTTTCTTTCTGTTTTGCTTGTTTTCTGTTATTTAATTTTTATTTTCTTTTTTCAAGGGTCCCAACCGGCTCTTACCGGCCATGCCAGGAGCGGATCTCTCGAGCCTCGTGCGGGGGAAAGACATGTAAGGGGGATGGAGGTAGTAGGTGGAAATTGGGAACGAATTCCCGTCTCCCCTTACACACTTTCGCCATATTCGCACGGGAGACGTTATTTTTTAGCACATTTTCGAGCACCTGTTAAACTCAAAACATGAAACAAGAGTCCATGACAGGTAGAGAATCCACTTCACCACACAATTCAGGGGTCCTAAGATCACTAATTCACTCAATCAACCAACACAATATGAAGAAGAAATGAGACTTCTTAAATGCATCAACATCCTCCATAGTGCTACACTACCTCCCTAGGTTGCATATTACTATAAAGACTGTCAATTCAAAGCATACTGAGACGGCAATTGCAAGGAACATGTACTTGGAGCCCTCAAATTTAAAAATTTGGACAGTGGACTAGGCTCCAAGCACACAAACAGATCT